ACCTCATTTAGGATTCGGTCGACCTCATATAGGATCCGGTCGACCTAATATGTTGTTTCAGTGTAAAAACAGTTCATGGTGCCTACTTTGGATATTCATATCATACAATTGGCTAGATGGAAATTGAAGACTAATGACTTGTTTTGAAGTTGGAGTGTCCCTCTACATATTGAAGTGATTTAGAGCTCGATAGGAAGTCCAGAAGACCATTTTTGAACCTCATCAAAAGGCTATGCCAAAACTGGGAAACTGCCTAGAAATGGCTAAGTCTGGAAACGTGTTTGTGAAGCCTATTTTTGAGCTCAATTCGAGAAGCATGAATGGGAGTCGAGTCCAGGAGCCTCTACCACGTTAAATTAGGTATGTTTTTATACAAATTCAAGGAATTGGATGAAATATTGGATATCTTTAAGGCTTCAAACAAAAGGGTCGAAGTTGCTACGAAGGTTGTTTTTCTGGCAAACTTCGAGCACAAGCAAGCTGCCAGAAAAACAGCCTTCGTAGCAACTTCGAGCCTTTTGTTTCAAGCCTTAAAGATATTCAATCTTTCATTTAATGCCTTGCTTTTGTATAAAAAAATACGTAATTTAACGTGGTAAAGGCCCCTGGACTTGACTCGCATCCATGCTTGTCAAATTGAGCTCCAAAGTAGGCTTGACAAACACGTTGCCAGACTTAGCCATTTTCAGGCAGTTTCCCAGTTTTGGCATAGCCTTTTGGTCAGGTTCAAAAATGGTCTTCTGGACTTTCTATTGAGCTCCCATGTACTTTAATGTGTAGAGGGACACTTCAGCTTCAAAACAAGCCTTTAATCTCCAATTTCCATCTAGCCAATTGTAAGATATGAATCTCCAAAGTAGGCACCATGAAACCGTTTGTACACTGAAACAACTGATTAGGTCGACCTGATCCTATATGAGGTCGACCGAAAAGTGCATGTCACCGTGACATGCATGTCACCGTAGCAAAGTCCAAATATTTATTATCAACTAAATATAGTATTTATCAATGATTTAGTGTGTTCTTATTAAAGGTTACTAACACAGTTTTATTGAATACAAAAACATTGATAATAAAGTGTAAAACTAATAATGTCATGAATAGTTTTATTAACAATTCATGTAAAAGTTAATAATAACGATTATTAAACATTTGATAATGAAAACTATATGTACACACATGACATGACGTTACTAGTTAATGAAATATTGACAATGTTAAATATAAACACCAAACAAGTCTAATAAACAATTAATGACAATGTTTTGGGAGCTCATTACTAATAGTATCAATAATGATAATGTTGTGAATCAATGATATTGTGAATCATTAGTATAGATGTTGTAAACCAATGACTCATTCATAAACTTTGATGATAAAAATGTAAAACGGTAACGATTGATTCAAAATTCGTAATAATATAATTGTAAAGAATTGATACGTATATTGAAATCGTTAATAATGATATAGCAATAATGATTTATTTCATAAATGTTGATAATGTAATTGCAAAACGTTCATACTACATTGCAAGTTGTCACAAAGTGAGAGAGCAAATTTTTAATTTCTATTTTAATAAGGGGGAAAATTATGAAGTTCAAATTTAGTAAATATTATAATCTAATTAAATTAATTTTGGATTTCCTTTTATTTGTAGTGGAGAGAGGGTTATGGAGAAAGTTATGGGAGGAAAGAGAAAGAGAATAATCAATTATTAATATTAATTATATTTGTAATGCCTTATTTATTTTCAACTACCTATTAACAACTAACCCCTTATTAACTACCTAATCCACTATCAACCAATAGAATAACTTAAGCAATATGCTTAAGCTTTTGGGCTTAAGCATAGGAACTCAGGCCGTTATTAACCTGAGGGAAAAGCGGCAGCAAGAGGACTAATCCGGGATCACCAAGGGAAGTGTCACGCTGCGTTTGTCTGCAACTTTGGTGTATGCTCCATCACCAGTGCTGAACTGAAAGGAGCTGCCGAGGGACTCAGATTGGCATATAACAAGGGATACAAGAAAGTCCAGCTGAATCTGGACTCCTCCACAGCGGTTGCCATTATCAAAAACCACAAAGACGAGAACCACCACCACGACATCTTTGCAAACCAGTTTAACTTTCTTCTGAACCTGGACTGGGATGTAAAAGTCGAGCATGTCTATAGGGAAGCAAATTTTGTGGCTGACTTTTTAGCCAATAGGGGTCATCTTTATGATTTTGGCACACATTCCTTCGATGTGTGCGACCCGGGACTCAATTATTGGATGTACCATGATATTGTGGGAGTTATCCACGATCGTTTTATTCCATCAATGAATTAGACGCCTTGGCGTCGAGCTTTCTACCAAAAAAAAAAAGCTGTATGTCTGTAACCGAAGCAAAAACTATATCATATGAAACTTTAACTGCCGGAAAGCTTAATACAAAAAGAAATTTGACACGCTTCTTTTCATATTGCAATATGAATTAATTAATTGTAATTGAAACCTTAACCGAAAGAATAATGGGAGAAAAAATAATTCCATTTCCAACAACAAAACTTACAGTAGGAATTGAACCACGAAATCCCCAGATCACAAGAAGGACAAAAGAAACATGATTATGACTGTTCATCATGCAATCGTTAACCATAACAATAGCATATACAAATTTATGAATATATGGATTAAACAAAAGGTAAAACGAAACCACAATTTTCCTTGTTCTAACACGTAAATCATATATAATATATGCTAATTCCAAATAAAACAACCAATCTTGCATTGACCATCAATAAGCCGAAGAATCAAATAGAACACGTAGAACCAAAGTGCTCCATTCATACATTCCAAAAGACCCCAATAATCAACCAAAGATGAATGGCTCTGATACCACTTATTGGAATTAAACTTTAGCCTATGTAATTCCTCGGAATCCATCATCTTGTCAGATTATCAAAGGTTGATAGAGTTACCTGATTTCACGATGTAGACCGTCCGGATCTTGATGCGGAAAACATAAGACGATATGCAGCCGGACGATACTTCTGGGAGCACGATCCGGGAGGTAGCATGATCTTCCTCAACCAAGCCTCCTTAGTCCATTAACGGGAATCCTCTGATCTTCCTGATGGGGAGAAGAAGAGAGTGTTTGGTCTTGGTGTATTGGGGACCACAACCTCAAGCTCCTTTATATACTAGTCACCATGGGCTCCCATAAGACCCAAGGTGAACAAGTATTGGGTTTCCACCCATTTAGGCCTATATCAATGCAAGATGTCTTTGGGCTCCTAATTGGATCACTTTCAATTAACCCACATAACCAAATAGCTCATATAATTGTAAAATATGTGACCTATATCATAATAGGAAATAGAATTTCCTAACACAGGCGAAACACGGGACAAATGGCCAGTCACATATGCAAAGCAAACAATAGCACATAAATTTTGAAGAATCTGGATTTTCAATTGTGAATTTTTAGAGAAAAACAGGAAACTCACCAGGTAAATCACGTGTGTCTCGTAACAGTTTGGGAATTGGCTCAAACTGAATTTAAAAGGTATAACATCTGAAATTGGCTCAATAGGATTCACGATGGTTGCATCAAGAATTTGAATCATCAAAGGATTCGGTACAGGTCGAAAGCTCGGCTTTGTCTCCATCACTTTGAATTTCTCAAAGACAGAAAATTTTTGCTCCTCCCGCTGGGCACCAATTGTGGGAATCATATTGCGAGGAAGCTGCGCCCAAATGTCATTTCCCTGCGGAGGAACCCAACCAACTCTAAGAAGCAAATACTAAGCACACATGAACTACCATTAAGCTGCGCCCAAATGTCATTCTCTGGCGACAGGATTAAAAAAAACCGTCGATTAAACCCAACTACGAACGGTTTAAAATTCAAAAAAATATGCATGTCATAAGCACACATGAACTACCATTAACTGCTACAATTTCCATTACGGCCCCTACTAATAAGAGAAGAGAAGAATGTTTGTGGTGCGGTCAGAGGGGTTAATTGCACCGGGTGCCATTTGACTTTTATAATTGTTGCACGTTAACCACTATGATTAGTTTCGTTGCAACTAAAGCATTTAAGTCAAACTTCGGTATCAACGTCAGCATATCCGTCACGATACGTAACGGCAAGCGCTAAATGGCACTTTTCCATGACGCGCTGGCAATCCATGTCAGTAAACGTGCTGAGTCATTGCCACATCAAACCCTGGGCCCACGAAGATGCAAAAAACACAAGTTGATCGCCCGACTTCTCGTCTCCCTGCTCTCTATTCAAACAGAAATTCAGAAACTAAAAAAGCAAGGTAGTCTTAGAAAGACGGCAGAGAGAAGAAACAGATTCAGCGAAGACAATATTGAGAAGATTGGCGGCGGTCGATTTAGAAAGACGGCGGACAGAAGAAAGGTAAACAAAAAATTTCCGGCTGCCATTGTTTCCGGTAACTGAATAAGATCCTTGCAGCATGCCATTCTTTCGTTCTTCCTCTAACTTCAGATTATGTTTGTTGTTCGACTTGTTCTTAGGGATTTAGAACGAGAGGCTGAAGGAGATAGTTTGTTGATGGCTTAAAATAGGTGAGTGAATAAAGAGATTTTTACCTGATCATGTGATGCTCTGTTCGTGAGTTAAATTCTGAGTTTGTTCCTGTCTGGTGAATATTTAAGTTTTCTATTGTTTGAACTTTCAATTTATTATTGTAACAGATTATAGCACTACAAGCTGCTGTTTCCTTCTGTTTTAGTTTGAAAAATGAGTCCAACGATCAGGGAAGTAGGAGACAGTGAGTTCATTCTGACATATGGTGAGTTTTGATGTTTGATTGCTGCAAATTTCTTCAGTTGCTGCATATTTGTCGTTGCAAATTTCTTTAGTTGGTGCACATGTTGCTGCTGCAAATTCCTTCAGTTGCTACAGTTACATTGACAATTATTATGTTTATCTTAGGAGTCAATGATGACAATTTCACAATCGAGCTCCATTATAAAGGAGAAATGGTGTATATAGTCGACGAAGACCTATGCTATTTCGGCGGTGAACTGAAATATTTGGATTGGATTGATCCAGATTGTTTATCTTTGATGGAGCTGGATGGATATCTTGTAGATTTCAGTTATATTGAAAGTGTCAGATTGATGGAGGAATATAGGACAATTCATGGTTGGACATATTATTGGAGAATTCCAGGAGAGCAGCTAAAGGAAGGGTTACATGAACTGACTTGTGACAAGGACATTCTAGATATGGCTACCAAGGTTATTCAAGATACCAAGTTTGTGGAGTTGTACCTAATCAATAAAGAAGAACTGGGTAAAGCTAGACTAGAAGCAGATGGAGAAGAAAATGACAGAGAAAGTGACCAAGACATTCTGCAGATCAACATGACCAATGAAAGAGAAGGTTGCAGAATGGGAACAAGTGAGAATGATCAGGGACCAAGTTTATATGATAAGGATGAATCAAATTTGATTCATGTTGATGGTAGGCTGTATAATGAAAGCAGGGAGACTGATATGAATTGGCAGATTAATGTTTGGGAGGCTGGCAGAGAAGGTGACACCAGGAAATCAAATGAGATTCATGTTGATGGCAGGCTATATAGTGATCAGGAACCAAGTTTGAATGATAATGATGAATGTAGTGATCAGGAACCCAGTTTTGATAATAATGGTGATGGTGACAACCATCACATTTTTATTGATGATGCGTTTGATGGAGATACTGAGGATGTCGAGTATGATTCAGATTATCTGGGCAGTGTCCACTCGGATGATGAAGCACAAAGAGTACCAAATCGTTCAAGATATCCTGAGTTCAACCCAGAGAAAGACATGAGTGATCCTCAATTCTGTCTACACCAAGTGTTCAGGGATTTCGACACATTTAAGGATGCCATCAAGAATTACTCCATCAACAGCAAACAGCCTCTCAAGTTCCAGCATAGTGACAAGAAAAGAGTTCAGGTTGTTTGTCAAACAGGATGCCCTTGGAACACATGGGTAGCTCCAACAGACGACGGAAAGGCTGTTCAAATAAGGTCATGTTTTCTGCATCATGAAGGTTGTATCATGGTGTTCAAGAATAAGTTCGGGGATGCTAACTTCATCGCTAGAAGGTACATCCAAAGGTTTCAGGCTGATCCAGATTGGGGGACTGAATATAATATTCAAACAGTTGCAGAAGACTATAACTGGCATTTTTCAAGATGGAAAGCATGGAGAATCAGGCGGCTTGCAAAGGAAATTATAAGAGGCAATGCTAAAGAACATTATCGCAAGTTGCAGGACTATTGTGGTCAAGTGCGTAGGATAAGTCCTGGTTCTACATGCTATGTGGAAACTTATGAAGACTCCAATGTATTCAAGAGGATGTATTGTTGTTTACAACCTTGCAAGGAATGGGCTGCATACTGTAGGAAGGTTGTCCTTATAGATGGGTGTTTTTTGAAGACAGAGTATGTGGGACAACTATTGTCTGCAGTTTCCCTAGATGGGAATGATGGTTGTTTTCCTTTAGCATATGCCGCAGTTGGAGTTGAAAATGGAGACAATTGGACATGGTTCTTAAACAAACTATGTGTAGATCTTAATATATTTGAAGATCCTGGTAGCTGGACATTCATGTCAGATAAGCAGAAAGTAAGTGCTTAGTATTTTAATTATGTCTTATTGGTGTTGTACCTTGTTGTTTTATTCATTCTTTGTTGTATTTGAACCTTGTAGGGCCTGTTGAATGCTCTAGAGAGTATAGTTCCATATGCTGAGCATCGATGCTGTGTAAGACACCTCATTTCAAATCTCCAAAGGGCACAAGGAGGTAACAAAACAACCAAAGACTTGGTATGGAATTCTACTAGAGCAAGTTATGATGCAGAATTCAAGAAATGCATGAATGAGTTAAAGAACTATGATGAAAATGCTCATAAGTGGTTGCTTGACAAGCCGTTCTCACAATGGTCTAGGTCCCATTTTCAACCATACTGCAAGTCGGATTTGTTGACAAACAATATATGTGAAAGTTGGAATAGCTCACTCTTAGGAGCTAGGACCAAGCCAATTATAAGCATGTTTGAGACTATAAGGTCTATTTTGATGCGTAGATTTCGTGTCAGGAAGGAAAATGCAGAATTGAAATTCAAAGGTCGCTTCTATCCTAAAGTCCAGACAAAGCTAGACTTGGCTCAGAAAGCTAGCTTCAGTTGTACTGCCATCCAAAGTGGTCCTCAAAAATTCCAAGTTTCATGTCCACAAGGTCAGGTTGTGGTTGATTTGAGCAAGTCCAAATGCACGTGTAGGAGGTGGGAATTGACTGGTTTACCTTGTCCTCATGCCATACGATGCATATGGCAAATCTCCAAAAAGGTTGAAAATTATGTGCACAAGTGCTATGAAGTTGGAACCTACAAAGCAACATATAGAGGTCATGTGGAGCAAATGGTTGGGCCAGAAAGCTTGTTGCCAAGTGGGCGGGAGCCTGTTTTGCCACCTAAACTGGTTGTAGATGAGGCAAAAAAAGGAAGACGAGTAACCAAAAGGAGGAAGGGCATTGAGGAGACAGCAAGTAGTAGCAAACAGAAACGGAAATTTCGAGCCGGAAATGAGAGAATTAGTAGGAAGGGCAAGGGGGAACCATTCAGTGTAGTGAGTGTAAGCAAAAAGGACACAATAAATCATTTCATAAAAAGGGGAAGCAAGGGGAAAGATCAGCAACTCAAAAATCATCAACAGAGGTGGCTTTTGTTGGAATTCTATCTATTTTTGTGATTAGTTATTAAGGATTGAGTTCTCATGTTTGTATATCTTATTTGCAGGGAAGCACACCACCTGTTGGATCAACTGGTGTTGTTCTACAGTGGATGCCTGATGTACGATTGCTTTAATTGATTGCTTTTATTGCCTGTATATCTTGTTTGTAACTTGTGATAACTTTGTTTTGTTACTGCTCAACAGGGAAGCACTCAGACTTTTCCATCTGACTGCTTCTTTGTACAAGGACAAGGGCAGCCAAGCAAGCTTCCTGTTGTACCAAGACCATGTCCCAATGCAGAAAATGGAGGAAAAGAGTCAAAGGGGAAGGAGAAGATGTGATGCAGCAATCTTATTGTTTTTCTGGTTTATTGTGGTCCAGTAACTTACCATGTGTGAGCTGGTTTTTTGGTTTATGGTAGACCAGCAACTTACCATATGTTATATGGTTCATTGTAAGCTGGTTTTTTGGTGACTGCAGTCCAGCAACTAATAGATTCTAAGCTGGTTTTTTTGTTTGACTGTTGTCCAGCACCTCGAACTTAATGAGATCCATGAGCTGGTTTTTTTGTTATATGTTTCAATTGCATAAACTATATTGTTGTCTAAATGTAGTTGCTTGATTGATGAATTGCACTTTGACATGGTTTCAAGACTTTCCACGAGAGCATTCATTGACAAATCAACAAATTTAATCACATTAGATGTGCTACTGTTCCAAAATCCATTAAATGAAACAAAACTTGTTCCAAATCCATTACATCCCTAAACAGAACTCTGCATTCATCATCTGCAGCATACATTAATACTTCCAAAACAATACATAATCCAGAACAAGAATCCATTACATGTTCCCACTACATTACATGTTTCCAGACAAGGAATTCATCACACTCCTTGCCAAAAGAACTCCAACCACAATTGCAGAACCTTTGATGATTTCTCTGACAAATGATTTGCGATTGTTCCGCCGCTCCACCTCTTGGATCCGATTGTGTAATGCAAGAATAAGGCGTTTAATATTATCCTCAAGTGGTGGATCGATCCAACCGAAATAGTTGCATGCGTTTGCACCGTGCGAATCAAACAAGAGAAGAACAAAATCCCTAAATTGAAAATGAGGAAGTTCTGAAATATGTGTTGAATGTCAAATGAAATTCAAGATATATGTTTTCAGCGTACCCCATAATTGGGGCACCCAAAGAAGTGTCGTCCGGGGTTAGCATCGGTCCACGAGGTGCGCAGAACCGCCGGTACAGCGCACCGACATATTGGAGATGTTGCCGCCATTTCCAACTTGGAGGAAGGGACGATAAAGAGAGAGCTCCAGTACAGCTAACCTACGATTGGAGATTGGGAGAAGAAGGGGAAGTTTTGTGGAGGCAGGAAGTTTTGTGGAGGAAGATATCCAGTTCGTGAAGAACAAAAAGTTTTGGGGAAGAAGAGTTTTGATTCTGGTGAGTTCTTGGGGAAGAAGAGTTTAATTAATTTCAAAGAAGATAGAGAGAGCAAGTGGCGCCGAAATTTGGTTGGGCCAAGGGTTTGATGCAGCCCACTAGTGACTCAGCAAATTTGCTGACGTGTACTGCCTGAGTGGCATGGCGAATTACAACCCAGATACCTACCGTTACTTCGGGAGACGGAACTTGTAACGGTGAAACCATAATGCGACTTAAATGCTTTAGTTGCAACGAAACTAATCATAGTGGTTAACGTGCAACAATTATAAAAGTTAAATGGCACCCGATGCAATTAACCCCGGTCAGAGTATCTCAAGCAATACCCGAATAAATGGGCCACCATTTAAAACATTATACTTTACCCGTTACTTTACCCGGTGGTGGAATTGCTGGTTTTGAGGAGCGCGATTCTTTGGTGCAGTTGGCATGGATTCTCTAATGTGCGGTTTGAGGGAGATGCCAAGGTCGTCATTGAGAAACTCCAGCGGAAGGAGGTTAGGGATGACAGGATAGGAGCTATTCTGGAAGAGGTGCTGCATTATTTGTCCTGTTATCCTGGGTTTTCTGTACGGTTTGTAGGTCGGCGTGCCAATAGGGTAGCCCATTTGGTGGCTCGTAAGGCCCTTTCTCTATACCCGGCTATGAACCGTCATTTTGATTTTCAGACCTGGCTGATCTCCAGGATGTAACTATCTTTTTGATCTAATATATGATTATCTTTTGTAAAAAAAAAAAAAAAAACCATGAGACTTCGGCTTCCATTACAATACGATTACAGCCCAAATGAATAATCCTACTATGAATATATAATTTGCAAGGAAATTACAAAACCAATTTGCGGACCTCAGTTCCGAGTAATGACTATGATGACATTCATTAGATAAATAGCCCAAATACATCACATGTGAATGCCTATAACAACTGCCATGCATTTGGAAAACTAATTAACGTTCTACAAAACCACAAAAACCCTAACAGGGTGAATCGTAATATAAGAAAAAACAATTAAACAAAAATCGAGGAACATTCTACAATAAAATTAAATAATGTATTTTGAATCCAATATTATAAATTTCAATACTACTAAACAAAGTTTGTGCTATAAGAAATCACAATTAAACAAAACCTGAGCAACATCCAACTACGAATACTAAGGAATAAGGGACGGAAATAGTTTTAGAAGAACCAAATCACCGTACTCCTTATCATGATCCCATGGACCAATCTTCATAAACAATACATATACGCTACCAAGAATAGTATCTAGAATATCGCCTAAATTAGCCACCTGAAGATCAGCTTCTGGAATCACAGAAGAAAATATTCGGCCACGATTTGCGTCAGTAAATTTGACATGAAATTTAGCCTCCTCATCTACAATGGTGAGCTGAACGACATTTGAAAGTGAACTGATACACCATGATGTCGCACACTCCGTGACACGTCCAATGCAGCGAAAAAGTTCATCCTAATACATCATAAAACAAAAGTAAGTACAATCCATATGAAAATGAAAAATAGAGGCACTTCTTAACAATTTTGAATACTCAACCCTTTTTCAAAAATAAATTGCTATACCACATTGTTCTTGTCCCCTTGAAAGTCGAGCAAGTCAATGGAAAGAAAGAGTTCACTAATTGTGGCGGCTTGTGTCAATGTAAGATCTCCAATAAAGTTTTCTCGATCAATTGATCTACATTCGAAGACAGAATAGGCAAATACTAAGATAATAATAAGATTAGGATTGATATTTAACAGCAAACAAATATATAATATTAAACTCACCTGTTTAGCATAGGATGAATATCTGGACAATGCAGTTCAACATTTATTTTGGTTGCACAAGAGGCAGTGAAAACATATTGACCTAAGAAAACATAATTTGATAAAGTACACAATTAAATAATTAAAAGTTATAATATATGGTAAGAGAACTAAATTTGTTCGAAATTAATTAACAACTTGGGTTTAAGATTCTAGTGAACATAACATATATATTGTTCTTCAAAGTTTAAAATATAACAACCTAACAGTACTGTTCACAAAGTCGCAAATGAATCATAATAACCTCTGTTCAAAATATCTACATAATGTAACAAAACATAAAAATAAATTTGCATCCCCATTAACCCTGTTAAATAAATGTCTTGCCTTCCTCCTCCTTCACAAACACCGAGGTAAAGACCAAGACTTGTCCAAACATACCCGCATTAGGTAACAGTTGCTCAAATTGAGATACTATCTTATCCCACAAAACTATCATGACAAACTCCCCTCTGTTTGTCAAAATAAACAATCAACTTTGTCAATCTATAACAAGGAATGAACTAAATTGATGTAAATACATATATATGCTTACTCTAACAGCTGGAGACGAAGTTTTTTTTGCTACGGAGAATTGTGACATCTGGATACCAATCTAGTGTTGCATTGCAAATCACTAAT